GTATGTATGTATGTATGTATGTATGTATGTATGTATGTATGTATGTATGTATGTATGTATGTATGTATGTATGTATGTATGCATGCATGTGTGTGAATTTGAGGGTGTGTGTGTGTCTGTTCGTGGTTGCAAGAGGGACGATGAGGTTTGTGAACTCATGTATTCCATCTCACTCCTCATTGTTTGCGCTGTTCCTTTATGTATTTTCCCTCTCTTGAAAGAACAAGTTTTCATAATAATTTCCAGATCCGTCAAACTTCTCTCCTGATTTAGAGGTATAATCCAAAATTTTCCGGTTGATTTTATTATGTGCACACATGTCGCTTCATGTGGCAGAACTATTGAGAAAATCCTGCTCAACCAAGATCATTGTCTGCGTAACTAACTTCCTAAATCTATGTGGAACTCCATGTCCGCTCCCAGGGTAAGCTCCTCCATGCATGTACCACCACATACAGATTAGGCAATTTTCCTTATCTTGACCGATTTTTGGTGAACGACGCATCAGTTATTGGCTCTTGCGATGTAATTTTTCCGTGATATCACTCCATTTACATAATGTAGGCGATTCATTGTGCACGATAAAATCAATAAAATCAAGAATAATTTTAATATAAGCCAGTATAGATTACGCATTGCCTAATTGTACATGTTCCTTTGATTGTAATATGGTCCGAAATGTATCAGAATTCCGGCTGATTCCGATCATTCACACATGGGACGCACGATACACTTACGTGACCAATCAAAAGAATAAGTTCGTGTTTCTCACAAACTCGAATGCACCCATGAATCGACTGATTGAGATTGATCTGGACAATAACAACTGGGTAAGTCTTTGCTCAAATAGTGAAATACCGTTGTGTCTCATTAGAAATACGGTCCACTCATCTCTATGGTGGTAGGTGTGTAGCTATGTGCTGAAAAGAATACAACACACATCTTTCTTATAGTTTGTTTCTTCAAATCTCTGTTCATCCATTTTCATTAGCTACTAGTATATACCATCGCTTACGGCATTCGACCCTCTCAATTGTTATCGGACGACATTGTGTAAACAAACAGCCAGCAGTTAACACGTATTAATTGAATGAACTGTTTAAGCGTTTTATCAGATAACATAGCTGATCGTGCATGGTAACATCTTCATATTTTAGCGAAGCAACTTAAACACGCCACAAAATTGGTTTATAGAAATGTAAAACTTGACACCAATTCCCGTTATGCACACGTTTCAGAGGGCATATTCATAAGTGGTTTCTGTTGGCATTGCCTCATGGTAAACGTAGATTTATCACAGTTAAAGTGTAATCTTATTCAAAGAAAACCTTCGTAGTCGCATTTAGATTTGTTGTCAAGTGTTTTTGGAAGATATGAAACATATTTCCTCCATAGTTAAAAATATATATAACACGCTCATCTTACGTGTGTGAGCCCCCCCCCCCCAGTTGGACTCTTGTTGAAGTGGTTGAACAGGTGCTGCTGTTAAAACTCCCAAAGGGGAAAACCCTTTTTTGAATATTCGCACAAATTTCGATGTCCGTCGGTATGACCTGAAATAGTTTGATGAAATGATGAAAGTAAAAAGGATTCAGTCTTCAAGTTTGGATAGCATAAAAGCAGAAATATGCAGTTCTCTCTGAACCCAATGAAGACTAGCCATTTCTAAGTAGTAAAGAAATCTTCGCACACACTCAGAGCACATTGAGTTAACGCTGCCAAATGCCTTCCCTTTTACTGAAAAGTTAACCTTACATGTAGAAATACTCAATTGAGCAAAATGATTAAGAGTGTGAGTGGGTGAATGCGGATGAAGCCGGTTGTGTAAAAGCCGGTGGTGGCTAGGTCTTATCTACAAGCAAGCGTTATATCGAGTATTTACTCACAACATGCTGTCGGTTTGAGCAGCATGCTTGGAATCCCCTGAAAGTAAAATAGCATAAAACTGGTTTCAATCTTTTTTGAAAATGTTTGTACTTGTCTAAGTTTGCTAATTGAAGACAGCTTTGTGTTGATCTTCTGAAAAATCAACAAAGCGCTTAGGCAAAACCTGTAATGAATAGAAGTTTATATTGGATAATTTTATTGGAGGAACTCAGAATAGTAGGTACTTTTTAGGCTTTTGTTGAAGAACTTATGACATGTGAAATTTGAGGACACAAACATATATGCATTACATGCCACAAAAGTGAGGATCGTTGGAAGAATTAATAAAAACTGGGGGGTTTTATCGATTGTTATTATGGGAAAACGGTTGACGACTACGCATTTTTATGGTGTGGTTTTGTTTGGTATCAACCATGTCTGTTCGAATACCGGAGAGATTCTGTGTGTATGTGTGTGGTGTATTAACTGCGAATGCTTATTTCAAATTATGTGAAACTGCATAAATCAACCTTTACGAGCACTAATTATTAGGAAATGATGTATCCACGTCTGTAACGAGATATCTAACATTAGTCACCAAGTTCTTTCAGGTTGAGTCGGAGGAAAATTCGATCACAATCTTTTTCATTATGAAATGCAGGCAATTTGGATGTAGATTACGCTTAGTTGCGTAAATAAGCTCATACTATGTTGAGGTCAACCCGTGAGGGGACAAATATCCTTCTGGAAAATTTGACATGACAATTATAATGTTTATCTCTGTTTGGTCTCTAAATTATCAATAAAAGTCGACAACACCGTGACTTGCAGTCACATAGATCTATTTGGAAATTGTTTAACTTACTTTTTAAATAACCAAGAAGCAATAAAGTATGAAACAAATAAAAGAAAAAAAACCGCAAAATCAAAAATAACTGACTATGACAATTGTCATTTTCGGGTTTTACGGATTAATATAGATGTACATAATTTATCGGTACGAGTGATTGGGCCTCAAACTCCCGAGGTTAACACCAGCATTCCATTCAGATGGAGTGTTGTGAAAAGCAATCCGATCCGCCAACAAAAATATGTAAGGGCTGTGGTGGGTTTTTTAAAAATAACCAGTAAGGACCAGAAATCTGCTTGTGTTGGGTGTAAAAGGAGAACTTTCTACAAACCAACCGGGAAGAAATTGAAATTGAAGTGGCCAACAGCATTTGAACAATTGAAAGCGAATTTCTAGGCTACTTTACAAAAGGGAACGTTGATATGGAGAATATACAACAACGTGGATTTTATTAAAAAACGATGACTAAATAATATTAATAAGGGATAAGTTATGTGGACGTTAGAGCTCTCGACATTGTGCTCCATCTGTTTGTTATTGACTTAAAGGACAGCACATTGAACATAGCGCAGTTATAGTAAAACTGGTAACTATTGTCTTCTGCTGAAGTGTTCGATTCCAAGGAAAGATAATCGAAAATCACGGTGGAAAGTAATTCAAATCCTGCAATAAATAATTTCATAAAGTCACTAAAATAAATTCAAGAAAAATATAAATTTCAAGTATCAAATCACAGCAAAAACTGCTTGATATCACTAAAGAAGTAAAAGTTAATGGTCATTATTCCATTGATTAGAAAACATTTTTGTTTTATTTGTACATTCTATTTCATTCCCTACTATAGTGCAATGAAAGATTTGTATGATTTGTAGCGGGTATCTGCTAAAATTGAGCAATGTATATGCATACCAATTTACTATTGGTTCTCCATAGGTCCATGTCTATCATTTATTCCCACGAATTTATTTGTTCCACATTGGTCCACATGTTGGATTGCCACCTGCTTTTTATTACGCATCAGTGTTTAATGAACAACAGACGGGATAGACCCCATAGACATGAAGACCTCCTGTTGAGTGATGGTAACCGTCAACCTGATCCCCGGGACTTGAAGTGGCGAACCACATAAAAGCCCCGAAAGGTTGGGCGTGGCATTGAACCGGACGACAGCAAAGCTGCCTATCACCGAAGTTGGGTGGCGGTGGCCGGGATCAAGTCTCGGATCATAGGGACCAAAGCACGCCGGTGACAGCAACGAACTTACTGCGCCACCAACACCTCATAGTATGTCCCAGTTGGACAACTGAGGCCAGAGATTCCGGTGCTTGCTGAACCGCAAATAGCCACATGTCGAGATTTACATTTTACACCACTGAATCCTGCAATCTAGTACCTATTTGTTTAAAGGTGACAGACGTATAGATATTTAGGTGTCACTTTATGTGGGTCGCTATAGTCTGTGAAGTCAACATGTTTTTATATAAAATTTCATTTATTACCAAAAAGGGAATGAGAATGTTGGTAACGTAAAACGGAATGAAACTAATAACCGTTGGATGACACCAACTATTTTTTCCTTTCATTCTCCATTTCAGAGTAAATGGAAAGAACTAGTACCTCATGATCCAGAATCGAAGTTAGAACATGCAGTGAGCGCTGGTCCTCAATACCTCGTTGTGAATCGACTGAAAGAAGGCAAAGTAAGAGCATCTGGAAAAACAGAAGTAGAAATTTTAAGAAATGTGCTCAACCGAAGCGAGGGTTTGCGTTGCATGAATGCCATGAGGGCGTTCCACATCAATTTCAGTCCTACATGACACACAAAAATCAAATACTTATACAATGATTTTAAATTGACTGAAAAGCGATATTGGTTAGTAAATAGAAACCTCGGTTATTTGTTTGTGTAACGTCGCCAGAGAGGAGTGTATATTTATTCTGTGACACGGGCAAAGTTTTACATCTTTAAAGGAATAAGTTCCGTTCTCATCAAACAGAAAGCGAACAACACCACACTAATTTGGATCAGAGAACTTCACTTTTAAGGTTGTTGCATAAGCGTTAGTCCTCAATAATTAGAAAGACAATAAAGAAGAGATCTGTGGGTGCAAAAGTTTCAGCAAAATGTGAAATTCAACCTGCATGACTACGACAAATAAATTGCAATCGAACTGTGCGCGGAATTTGTGGTATTAATAGAAAATATTTATGGTGAACACAACAATGGGGCAAACAATATAAATAAATATAAAACAAATCATTCCTGTTTGTTATTGGTTAAGCGTGATAAGTATCAACAAGTTACTAGGAACCTGTGTAATCCTGTTTCTTGCTATTTTCCGAACTAATCTCCCAATAGCGAACATCGTCGCGGAGGAAACAAATTTAGCCCGCCTCGACGATACTCACTCCGGACAGGAAGCATTGGATTGTTATGTTGTCCCGATATATTTCATTTGGCTTTTGTGATTCTTGAAGGTGAGAGGTTCGTGCGTGGTTGGTCCCAATGGAATGAAGCAACTCTTTTGGCAAACAAAATGCGACGTACGAGATCTGGTCAAAACAGTATGGGGATTGCGCCCAAAGTAGTTCCACAGCAACGTGGAACTGGCAAATAATGATGGTGCAGCAAAAAGGGCGGTTGAAATCCATATCATAGTTGTGAATGGGCTGAGAAACAGGAAACCGGATTAAAACGCTTCGACGAATCAGGCGTAAAAGGAGGGATAACATTGATTCTTAGAGCTAAAATAGTCATTCACAGAAAAGAATTGCCGTTATGCACCAACCCGAGAAAGGACGTAGATAATTTGCACCTCGTCAGGCTCAAACTTGGAATGTGAATGTATATGATGCGCAATTCTAGTTCAAGTCCATACAAAACGGGCTCGAAGCGCGCTGGGTAGAAGGATGAAGAGTTTGTTCCAGAATAGCTAATGATGCGTAAGTCAGGTCTAATGTACGTTCAAAGAAATCAGCGTGATTCAAATATGAGGTGTGACATCGACAACTTAGATACGGAAGCGAATGTCAATGGCACCAGTATTCGTGTTGTAAATGACAAGCGTAAACGAGGAATAACATATGGCTTTTGTAGAACAGATTGAATAATGAGTAAGACCGAGAACCCTACTGGATGGCGGTCAGAACTATCAAAAACCTTTGTGTCTGTGATGGAAACACACGGAGGAATGGGGGTAACCCAATGTGTTCTGCTCTTCAAGCTTTTTGCAGAGGCGTGGAAATGAATAAGTTAAAGGTACTTGTGGAGGAGCTAAGAGACACCTTAAATTTCAGTGGATCAATCTTGCCCCATGAAACCTGAAAACAAAATTTCTAATTTACAAAATTCCTAATATGTCTAGCTCACCAAGTTTAGGGATGAAATTCATTTCGTCACACAGTACTGCTTAAAAACGAATACTATGGATGTTAAAAGTATCGCAGGAATATAAGATGATTTTATACTATTTTAATGATGAATCTATCGAGTGTAAAACAAAGAAAGCATCATCTGAGTTTAGATGCTTGCAAGCTGCTTGCTAAGATGGGTTGTGCCTTATGAAGACAAAACGAAAACCGCCTGATCAGTTGCCCGGTGATCAACTGGGTAATATACGTGCGACCTACTCGTAAGCTTCCCGGTTCTGCCCTCAGTTGGCTCGATGGATTTGTAGTGATGACGAAATCTAATCAGATCCAAACACCTTTCTATGAGGGCACAATTCACCATGTGCAATGGCATCATTGATGATTGAACTTTATATCTGATCGTGAACAATCAGCACTTGACAGCTGTTTTATCCTCTTTGAACCAACAAGCAATCCGTAATATTTTTTTGCTGTCAGATCTCGATACAAGGACATTCAAGTTCAAATTCAAATTTTTATTATGGAAAAATTACAAAGCTGATGCTAATTGAATCCCATAGGGTCTGTACACACTGGGTTCGTTTGGTAGTACAATTGAATAGCAAATTCTAGGGTTCACTCACGGGCACTGAAAAGTTAGGTGGTTCAATGCCTCATCCAGTCATAACTTTAAGGAACGATGGTCGGTGCACAAACAACTTGAGGTGGAAGAGAGTTCCATGTGTTACAAACTCTGAGGCTGGAAGAATGACGCCTGCAGTCTAGCCGACCATTTTAGAGCAGAAGTTTAAACGGATGTCCTTGGAGGTGACCATTCCTGGATAGTGTTAGTAGACTACTACACGGATGGTTAAATTGCTGTAGTATTTGATGAACGAGGATCATGTCTCCCTGTATTCGACGGATTTCAGACGAATAAAGTCCGATAATTCGCAGCCTTTCACCGTAGGTCTTATATTGTAACCCTTTGACCATTTTGGTTGCTGTTCTCAGCGGAAGTTCAAGTAACTTTTGGTCGCGAATCAGCCATGGATTCCAAGCCTGTATAGCATACTCAGTGTGTGGTCTAATGCATGCTGATAATAAACCGGGAAATAGGTTTGTTTCGTTTTAGGACTCAGAATATTTGACCCAAACTTACACCTTCAGAACACAGATACACGAATTAAACAATTTGTTGTATTGTAAAAGCGAATCGATAGATTAAAAATTGTGTATGTTGTTATTCTGGTCTCACTCGGTCTCACTTCTTCGGTCACCAAACATCAAACTGTATCAAAAATCAAGTGCATTGTAACGTAGATAATGCACCAATTTCGAAGGAGTGGTGCCAATGCAAGTAGGGCAACACATTGATCTATTAGTCATGAATGCACATGGAAAATATAACAACTATTTATGGTATCAGAATGTTTTATGTCTATTGATTTTTGAAGAGGGGAGTTCGTGAGGAAAATTGTGCTAAATTGTAGTTTATATATATTTCTATTGATGTTTCAGAGTTCTTTATATATAATCGAGCGAAACACGGGAGTCCCATTACGCGAAGTAAACCTACCTATTGGCCGCATTACTGAGCTGGCATCCGATCCTCTGTCACCTCAGGTACGAGTTGTCGTGGACATGTTTACCAATTTTACATTAGGATTGGATAGTAATGTAACCAAGCTTTTTACATATCTATTTTTTGATGTTCAGTTGTTCGCCGAGATTGGCAATTGCAAACGTTTCATCACCAATCGAGGTGACATTCTCAATGCATTAGCTGGGTCTGCAGTTACTGCATTGAGAATGTTACCTCGATTGGCGATGAGACGTTTGCAATACAATTGCCAAGCTCGGCGAACAACTGAACATCAAATTATACCACCGGAGCTACAAAAATAACAATCAACACCGTTGTTTACAAAACTGTCATATCTTTTCCTTTTACACGTATCTAGTTTTTCGTCTGCTTCAATTCCTACAACGTCCCTTGTCAAGTGTTGGAATACACTCTGAAAGATAACAATCTTATACAATCAGTGAGTTAATGTGCCTTTCAATTGGTTTTGAGGGAGTGAATGCGATTGCAATACGAACGCGATTCCCTCGCATTGAGGGAATCACTGGGTTTATAACAGAACAAACGTTAGAAACACCGTGTTGTTTTATTGCGTTTCCGCCGTATTTTTGTCTCCTACTCGGCAGATTTGTGAAATAGCTGATGGATGGTTATGATTGTTGCACTTAGTCGGACATTGAGATAACACTGCTTGGTCTGAGGTGAGAATAACGAACCAGTTGTGTTTTTCTGCTCATCACCTCTAAATAGAACTCCTTCACTTCATCTGTTATCTTTTTCATCATGTTGCTGCTTCATTTGCATTCACGTGGATTTCTCATTTCCTGCCTGAAGAATCAACAAGAGTCCCTTGACTGGATCGGAGGAAACATGTCCCGCAATGAATTGGAAATTTGTTTCTGCACTTACTATTAATCATGGAATGCCCTTTCACTTTTGTTCTGGTGTCATAAAAATGGAAGACCGATATTGAGATATTCTGTGAATATCCTTGGATTATTCAAAACGATCATTCATTTAAATGCAATAAAATCTGTGGCCACCAACTGTGTATTTCAGGGGTTAAGGTTTCGGCACCCACTCACTGTGTGATCAAATTTAACGCAATGTGAAACATTAACACTTGCAAGGATTTTAGTTACATAGGTGTTGAACCAGGTCAAATGATGCTTAGGAACTCTTGCAAATAGGCACTCATGACACCTTTAGTGCGATCTTTCTTTCACCCGAGATGTTTTTCCACAAAACGGTGATCGAGAGCGGTTTATGGCAAGTGCTTTACGGAATAATTGTCTAATGGTGAGACTCTTCAGTGTCAAAAAGAAAGTTGTGTATACTTCTCTCCAATTCAAGGAGGGTATGATCGCACAGTTGTTTAGCCGCAAACTGTAAACTGAGGTAGAGATTGTGTTTTACTTACATGTCACATTTTAATCCAGACCGTACCCGCGTCCAAAACTGAAAGACAAGGTTCTTGTTTCGGCGGTATCATCTTGTGTTAACCCGTTTTAGTTTAGATCAATGTATATCGGCCGCACGAGCAAGTACCTATCTATAAGAGTTTGAGCACATCATTTGGCCTGGTTCAATATCTTTGTAACTGAAAACATAATAAATTGCATCGTTTTACACCTCATCAAATCTGATCACACAGTGAGTGTGAATAAAACATTTCGTCCGCTGTACTATATTTAAATTTTCCAAACTAATCCGACTGAAAATTGCATCCAAGCTACCATCGAGGTGATTGTAATTCGTCTACATACCCCACACTGTGCGCCTCAAAACAGTTTGTGGAATCACCCAGTTTATCCTACTCCAAATCACATGAATAACACAAACTAAGCACAATAAATAAATTCTGAAAGGGAGATCCACCGC